GCTCCTCTGTTTCTTACTCTCTGTAAGTTATTTGTCTTAATTTTTGTGCTTGAAGTCTGGTTTGATGTTGTTCAGAAGTTTCTTGTTGTCTATATCCAGCTTGCCTTGATGATTCTGACTGAACTCTGGCTTTGTGCTGTTCAACAGTTTCTTGCTGAGTAGCCTGCCTTTCAGCTTGAGCTCGAAGTCTAACTTTACGTTGTTCCAAAGTCTCTTCCTGTATTTGAGCAGCCTGTCTTGCAGCTTGTGCTTGAAGTCTTTGATTGCATTCTTCTGTTTCAGCTGCTCTTTGTGCTTGCATTATTTTAGAGGCAGAAGACTTTCCATAGAAAGGGCGTTTCTTGGGTGGCATAATTACCTGTATCACTAAACAATAATTTGTAATTCACAAAGTTACTAAATCACTTATGAAACCACCTAGCACTATGTAAAGAAAACTGTTTTTGGAAATACTGAATTGACAGCAAGGTGATCTGAGTATCTCCCACCACAATGCTTTCTATGTGCAAAATGTGCTTACGTTTGTATATTTATTACAAAAAAATGGCACAATAATCATTAACTGTCAATTTTGTCATTAGATACTACACCAAATACAAAAAATAGCACCATTAAATTTCTTGTAAAAACTGGTTATTATGAAGTTATTTTAAAATTTGTAAGTTCAACCATTCTGTTTCCTATAGCGAACAAAATAAACAAACTTCATCTTTTATATATATATAGACAAATGAACATTGAATATCACAACTTGTTTCTCTTTTACCACCTAAACTAAGTGTTATTGTGACAATTTAACACTAGCCGAATACTGAAGCTACTGAGAACAACAAACATGTACGTGCTTCCATCTGTTGGTGCTGATGTTTACAAAATATTTGGGGTATGTGAAGATCCTGGAAGACTAATGCAGGGTTAAGCATATAGATACCAACTAATTTCAGTTAAATAATGCACAATTGTATACATACATAATTAAAAATTAAACAAAATTATTCTTATTAATATGTTAATGCTAAAGTTGAATATCCTTAATCAAACCAAACAATAGAATGTACAAAATTTTGAATAGTACGTGAAACAACAACGAAACATGAGGAACTTAGATTTCAAATTTGATATATTTTTACTTGCAGTTCTATTATTATACGTATGTAAAATCTGATAGCTGTCGCATGATACTTTTATGTGCATACACTAATACCCGTGGTATTGCACCATGAAATGCATAAATTTGGTCTTTATTAATAATAATAAACAAATTGTTCTCTTGATAATTAATTTAGTTATAGTAGATTCTCCGTTGTGAAAACTAGCATAACCGTAATATTAAATGTATTACATATAGCAACCTCTGTATTATTCAATGTTGTTGTTTTTTCATTCTTGTACATTCATACCTAACTGCATCAAAATTAAGATCTTACCCTCTGGGAGGATTAATTATGCTTAGGATTAGAAGTGAACAGACATTTCTAATAGTTTAGAGAGAAGTTCTACTGTGGTTCACTACACTTATACTGTGGGAACTTACTATATGTTTTCTGTTTTTTTAATATTATGTTGTTTTTATAGCTCCCCCTTTGGATGCAGTGAGACAGTGAAGCAACTTGCTAACTTTCACTTTCTTTAGGTAGTGAGAGAAGATAAGCACCAATTGTACTGTGTTTAGTTCTCTTACTGGAGTATTGTGGTCTTTAATTAATGATCTAAGCTTTTCTTATTGTTGTGTCAGACAACAGCTGCAGACAGTCTTGCCATTACTCTGCACATCTCCCTCTAGCTAAGTGAGGTGATAGCACAAAACTCAAAGTTTTTCATGCTAAAATCCCAAGGCTAAATGGTATATCATGCTTATGCTAATGATTTCAGATTTTATGGGGTTTGTTTCCATTCTTTTAATTTGTTCAGCAGAGGACATGCAGGACTTTTACTGATGTTTCTTTGTTTACAGTAGCAGGAACTCTCATTGTTCTTGCATTAGATTTTGTGTGTAGTTTCACAATTTATTTAACTTTCCACAAGAACCCCAAAGTTTTTGCACAGTGATTATCAATATTTTTTTATTTATATGAGCATTCAGCAGAAACCAAGAGGTTTCTTATGAGTTTATTTTTACTGTTATTGAGAGTGGAAAACAAGTGTATGAACTGAATGAAAATGAATTGTGAACCAAGGCAAGGTGGCCATTGAATAGGGTGGTCAGATCTGTAAGAAGTCTTATCCTGGTACTAGGACATTTGTCATTACTCTTCTAAAAGTTGCTGACTTAGGAGACTGAGGAACAAGAACTGCCTGGAGAATCAGAAGGCCTTATGAAGTTCTTCATCTAAGGCTAAGTCTCACTAAAGGAGTCAGTGCAATGGGTGATCAAAGGATAGATAACTGGCAGACTGGGAAATCTGAGACCCAGTGAGATGGTTTCTCTAGAACCGTAAAAAAATATGCCACCCAGAAAACTTGTACTTGGTTTCTACCTTCCTCATGAATAACATGAGAAACACCTGTGGTGGACAAGGGATGGTTGATTATTGGTGAAGGGTGGAATTTCATAAAATTTGTATAACTCAATGACAAGTGGCAAATCTCATGATAGATTGGACTTCATATTAATTTTTTTGTATTTTGAAACAGCTTTTCTGGATGAATAATTCACAAGAATATATAGCATCAATTCCTATATAAATATGTGATTACTGTTCAAAAACACCATACATATAACATACTCTCCACCACCATATGAAGCCTAGTCTTAGTTTTCCAATTTGCTCTTATCTATGTTACTGTTGAGGGGTGGAATTCCCCAAAACTGGTAGAACTTGGTGACAAGTGACGAGTTGAATGATAGATTGGGCTGTTTGAGTGAAACTTTAAGCAGAATAGACATAGTAGGTTTGAGAACTTTAATGGACTGTAACTTCCTTTTTGATTTTGTCCATTGGTTTTCAACACCTCCACTACGGAAATTGTTCCAGTATCAGTGGTCAGTTCTGGTTCATCTGGATGTTTCAGTCTAATTGCATCTTTATGTTATTTTAATATTTGTTCTAT